TTTGAAACTGTCTCATTGCTATTTGTTTCTCAATTAAATTATTGGAAGAAAAAGTTCATTGTAATCTAATGCATGCTGTAGTGTTAGAATTCCCATCAACTTTAAATATTTCTTTTTAACATGTTCACAATGAGGTCATAATTCCTGTGTCTCCTCACCAGGCAGCTCTAAACCACCCATAGTACTTGTAGTGACTGTCCCATTTGGTGACATGAGACAGTCCCATCCCCGGATGAAACAGTCGTCTGTGTATTACTGGAAGTTCAAACCAGCAAGAACATGTAATGTTACATATTTCAGGAATCCGGGTAAATTTACCCGTCACCTTTCCATTCTTATCACAACTATTGTAAAGCTCTTATCAAATATGTATTTTGACGGTCTATGTTTGTGTTTTTTAAATATCACAACTATAGTCACTTTTATTTAATAACTATAGAATCCATTGAGAGATATTTGGGGCATCTAAAAGAGTTTTTCATTTTTTTTTCTGGTGAGTAAAGTAATAAATTAGAAAATTTTAGAAAGATAAATTTTAAAACCCCCCTCATATTTGCATAAGAGCCACAAACTGGAGGAGAGGTTTCTTTTAGCTCACAGTTTCAGTGAGTTCAGTCTATTGTCCACCAACCTCAATGCAGTAGCCACACGGTACAGAGACCAGAAAAAAAATGGTGTTCACATCATGGTGGGCGGAAAGCAGAGAAAGAAGGGGAGGAATTGGGGACCAGAGTACCCCATTCCAAGCTACAGCTCAAATGGTCTACCTCTTCTGACTAGACTCTTTCTCTGAATGTGTGAGGCTGAGGGGTGGGTACTGTAGATGTAAGCCATAACTGCTTCTGGCATCCAGAAAGCCCATGCCTATCTCTTTATGCAAAATATATTTAGGCCATCTCTGAGAGTTGCCAAAGTCTTAATAGTTCTAGCATAGCTGAAAAGTCCAGCTGCAAAGTCTCTTCTGAGAGTTAAGGAAAACTCTTCACTGTGAGCCCCCATGTAAATCAAAAACTAAGTTAAACACAACATACAATGGCACAGGGTAAAAATTCCCATTCTAAAAGGGAGGACATGGGGAATAGACAAAAATTAGACCAGAGCAAAGCCAGAATCCACCAGAGCAAACATTACCTCCTGTAACTTCATGCCTACCAGGCAGGGCAGGTTGTCGTGAGATGTGAACTGGAAAGCTTGTTCACAGCTCCACCCACATAATATCACCAGTTGCTGCTCACATGCTCTCTGTCAGAGGCTGACTTTTATCATTGTCTTCAGTTTTCCTCAGCACACATTTCATGTTGCTGACATCTCCAACTTCTTGATATCTCCAATGTACTTGCAGCTGCATTCTCACAACTTAATGTACTTCCTGGAGCTGCAGCAGGGTCTGTGACATTTTTGCTGGACTTTCAAGACCTTCTTCTGAAATCTGGAAGGAAGTTTCAGTTACCACATAACTCTTACATTCTGTATACTTGAAAAATAGCACCATGTGAGATGTGAGCTTCCAGCTAAAGCAGTAGCCAAGTCCCCTAGGACCATGGGTGCTGTGGCTTCTAGGTACTTATATGGCTGAACTGAGGCATTTCCCTGAACAGCTGAAAATAAGCAGAAGTCCCAAGGACTATCTTCTCAGATGAAATATTTACAGTTTTACACCCTTTCACCTGCAATGGGTAGAGCTTTGCTTATTTCTGACTGTCCTCCAGGCCCAGCCTTTCTGACCAGCCCCTACCTCCAAATATAAGATTTTGGGAGGTTGTTTCAAATCTAGAGTATAACAGAGGTGAATAATTTCGGGAGGTGATATTGCTGAGTTAATGTGTAAGAACACTTTTAAGAATACATTTTTTAAAACGGCACATTAGGACATACGTCCATCTAGAAGATTTTTATTTTCATAGATATTCAGATTTATTGTCATATAAGTGTAAATCATTACTAGCTGTCCATCTTAATGGGCTATAAGAATTTCCTAGTGGCCTATCAAATTTAACAAGTTCAAAAACAAATTGTTCAGTATTTCTAATTTCCTTAAAATTCATTCTGTTCTTATCACACTGTATTGTTATCCCCTCTCTTCCTTGGGCTGGACACCTTACAGTCTTTCTGCTTAGACTTTATATCCTCTTATTTCTGCCTCTGTAATAGCCCTGAATACATACCCTCTCTTCTATTCTTATAAGGAATAGACTAGTTGAACCCCTGATAATCAGTGTGAAGTAGACCATGACACAGCCTCCTCGCTACTCTCCTGTCTTCAGTCTCTTGCTCCCCTAGTAATTTCTTCACTCTCTTACTTTCTCAAAACAGACTTGACTCTCACCCTCAAAGTATCATTAGTGCCTGTATTGGTTAGCTTTCTGTCACGTGACAAAATACTTGAGAAAATCAACTCAAAGAACAAAGATATTTTAGCTCATGGTTCAAACTATGGTTGGCTGGCTCCAAGACCTTTCAGCCTGTGGCAAGGCAGGAATATAGCAGAAAGACCTGGCAAAGAAAGCTGCTCATCTCACAACAACCAGCAGGCAGAGAAGAAGCAGACAGGGACCTGGAACAAGACACAGTCCCTAAGGCATGACCCTCAAAGACCCTCTCCCCTCAGCTAGGTCCAACCTCCTAACTACATCAGCTTCCACTAGCCCATCAAATTATGAACCAATCAGTGGATTGATCCCTTGATGAAGTTTCAGCCCTCATGGTCCATTAGGCCTGAACACTGCTGCACTGAGGACAGAGCCTTTTCATGAGCCCTTGGAGGCAATGGCAGAACCAATGACAGTACTCCATTATCCATGTCATAGAAGCCACCATCCTTGGTTGTTGTGGACAAAGCCTTTGATCTAATGTAAACTGCCTCTCTGGCTTTATTTCTGCACGATACATTTTCTCCGCTCCACCCCATTCTAGTCAACATAAGCTGTGTATTTTGTGTTGTTTTCTTTGTGTGTGTTACTTCTTCAGCCTAAAATACCTTTCCTCTCCTCCTCTTTTCTGCCTTGTTGAAATACTACTTACACTTCACATTGCTGTAAAACTTCCAGCTCCTTAGTGGAGATTTACATCAATGCAGCATCGTTATGTATAGATGAGTGGGGCTTGGGTGCTGCTTTCAGAATGTTTTGAACATCAACACATGCAAAAATAGATGTGTATATAGTACTGGTAGAAAGGAGGCCACAAACTAAACACATCCACTGCATAAATAAACTACATGTGAAATACATTATTGCATAGCTATGCATGCATGTGTGTTTCCACAAATATGTTTGGAGAGAAAGGCAAAGTCAAAAATAGGTTGGTAGAGAGAGAAGACATGTAGTAAATACTTGAGCTTGGTGTTCAATAAGCCCTCTCAAATTCATTGTGGAACCAGGTGAAGTGAGTACTTTTGAAAAAAAAAATAATTATACACATTAAGTTCATTTTCTTTCATAAAGAGGCTTACCTGGCCTTAAGTAGGTTTTACCAAATGTTTTTGGTTCAATTGCAGAAGGCCAGCCAGGTACTCCTCCCTCCTTTCTAGCGCTGCCTGGATGAACTGGGAGGGCCTCTTCCCTTTGCCAAAACTCTCTTGTCATAGACACAGGTGGTGCACACCCTGTCAACTGTAAAATAAAAATGTTACACTACATGATTGTTGGGTGAGCTCTGATCTTTAAGGTTCTTTCTAATGCTTGGATTCTGAGATATTTTTTCTCATGAAAGAAAAAAAAAAAGTGGTTAAGGATAAAGGGAAGTGCTGGTGTCCTGATATCCTTTCCACAGCACCCTCACTGATGTCAGATAGCCAGTTGCCCTTTCTATGATTCCTAGCTGACAATATGTGCTGTGTGAAAACTTGTAAGTTTGACTTCCTGATCTGAACATGCCACCACCTGTGTGCCTCCTTCTGTTTGTTTGCTGTGCTGCAAAATAACAAGGGTAAGGCAGGAGGATTTTTGCAAGTTAGAGACCAGCCTGGGCTACAAAGTGAGCTCAGGCCACCCTAAACTGCACAACGAGACCCTGTGTCCAAAA